GGGGGTGATAGGTGCCTAATTTCGGTAGGCACCTTGCTCCAAGTTGCAAAACTACCTTCTGTTGAAAAGAAATGAGAAATTTGTTTTCCCTTATGGAAAGCTAATGTAAGGTAGATAGTCACCCCAATTCCTAGGTAAATTTAGGATGAACTATGTGTAACAAATGGTGCTATCATGTTTTCTTACTTGAAGACTAATTACTTTTAAAACATGTCATGGGTTGTGTCTGCTTGGCTATATGAAAGGGTGAGATTTCTTTCTGTCTTTACAATCTTACCAATTGTCTGCAATGTGCATCACATTCTGGTTTAATGCTTATTCAATAATAAACTGTTTTATTTCTCTACTATCTTTGTGGAGAGATTTTCTGGGTTGGGAGGAGATTTTTTTCTCTTTGAATTATATTTCCCCAACAATTTATCCCGTTACCTGTCTACAAGAATTCAATTTCAAATGCTTTTGAAACTTCTGTATATGCCAACCAAATAAATACGTAGGCTGATTTTACTATTTGAGCACCCCAAATGCAAACTGATTACAGGGTCCAACAAACACATGGTACGTGGAAGGCGATGGGTGAGTGCAGCTGTGCGTCACTGCGTCACGCCAAACGGGCGGGCAGTTTTGGGCTGGGGGCGGCTCCCAGAGGGGTGCGGGTGGATGGGGGAGGGCACGAGCTGCGGGATATGGGGGGACACAGACACATTTCGTGGAGCCGCACTGCGCTGACCCTCAGGTATGTGCATGAATGAAGAGGCCCCTGGGCAGTGGCCTGCTTTGGACACGACTTTTCGAGCCGGGGCCAGTTCTGGCGTTTGCGAGCTACACGAGGCCGACCTCAGCAGCCTCCTGCGGTGGACTGCTATTCCTTAACACGTGCGTCAGGTCAGTTCGTTACTGCATTCGCTCACTCGCGGATTTCCGTCTTTGCTCGTTCCTTCCGGCCTCTGCGCACTTACCTCCCCCTCCTTCTCTGGCGTTCCCTCCGCTCCCGCGTTTCCAGCATGCAACCGGGCGCGACCCCCGCCCCACGTCCCGCCTTCTGCCGGTCTCCGCGCCCTGCCGTCTCATTGGCCCAACGCCCTCGGCCCACCCATCCCCGACGGAAGTTCCCATTTCGGTCTCTTCCATTGGGCATGCTGCCTACGGCCTGAGAAATTTCAACCAATGGGAATCAGTCAGGAACTACCCGCTCAGCCAATGGGGCCAGGGCGCGTACTATAAAGGGCCTGGCCCGCGGTACCGCGCATTAGCTGCGACAAGGTGGCTCCGGGTTGGCTCGTCGCAGGTGAGCTTCCAGGCAGTGAGTGTCGGGTCCCTGCCTACCGCCGCCGCGGGAGCACGTCGGGACTGGAAGACCCTCAGCCTGAATGTTACCTCCTCCCACCTCTTTTCAGGATCACCCGGACCCGGGCATCCAGTTCCACGGGGCTCAGGAAGGCGTCGTCTCTCCACCATCTCTTATGAGTCTTCCCAGAGCTGTGATGAAGTTGGGCGATGTTCAGTCCGCAGGTGAAACGGGTAAGAATCAGGACCAGAGAGGGAGGGGCGGGAAGAAAGGCCTGTTGTCAGGTGTTGGGGTTGGGGGTGCAGAAAACAAAGTGTTGACATCGCTTTTTTTGTGTGTGTGAGGAAGATCAGCTCTGAGCTAACAGCTGTGCCCATCTTCCTCTGCTTTATGTGGGAGGCCGCCACAGCATGGCCTGACAAGCCGTACATCCGTGCGCGCCGGGGAGCCGAACCCGACCACCAGCAGTAGAGCGCGCGCACTTAACCGGTACGCCATGGGGCCGGCCCCTGACATCGCTTTTTTATTTCAGGAGCTGCAGCGGGCCAAACTCAGCCCAGCTTCCCTACCGTGTGAGTGCCTTTGGTTTTGTATCTGGAAGCGGAAGGGAAGTGGGGCCAAGGAATGAAGAGCAAGCTGCACGTGTGAAGTGTTGGCTCATGGGACTGAGAGCTGTTGACCAAACACCCTGGCTGGGCCCTTGAGAAGGGAAAGGGGCAGAGGGAGGGTCAAGTGATAGAGGAAGGTGAGCATTCGGAGTCCCTGACTCTCCCTCCCCCCACCTCCCAAACTGAGGCCCACTTCCTCCTCTCTTGTCAGGCGGCACTTCACAATTGATGACTTTGAAATTGGGCGTCCCCTGGGCAAGGGAAAATTTGGGAATGTGTACCTGGCTCGGCTCAAGGAAAGCCATTTCATCGTGGCCCTGAAAGTGCTCTTTAAGTCCCAGATAGAGAAGGAAGGACTGGAACACCAGCTGCGCAGAGAAATCGAAATCCAGGCACATCTACAGTAAGGACAGTCTGCATGAGATTCCGGCACTGGTTCCTTACACTTGTGCTGTTTCCTCTGTCATCTCTGACATCTGAACCCAGCACTTCCCCCAATACTACCCCCAAATAGGCCCTTTGCTTCCGCCTTGAAGATTTTTCTCTGCCATTCATTCCAGTTACAGTATGTAAAGTTGCCTCTCTGTCACACAACTGAACCCTGATGCCTGTTCCCTCTTCTCCCCTCACACACTCCCAAATCGGGCTGTTTTTATACTAGTCTCAGCACGATTTGCCCCTTGTGTAACCAATCACTTGTAATAGCATCATGAGTTGGACCTCAGGGAGGAGTCTGACCCTTCCTTCATCCCTCCCCCAGGCACCCAAATATCCTACGCCTGTACAACTACTTCCATGATGCACGCCGGGTGTACCTGATTCTGGAATATGCTCCAAGGGGTGAGCTCTACAAGGAGCTGCAAAAGAGCCACACTTTAGATGAACAGCGTACAGCCACGGTGAGGTGGGGGAATGGGGGCTCTGGAGTCCATGAGTTTACTGTGGGCTGGTGGGAGTCACTGCTTGTGACTGTCATTAGTGTCCAGATTGGGTTTTTCTTTAGTTTATTTCTGAATTTTATTCTTTAAATTTTATATGACACATACATCCTACAACTTCATGTTTGGATATCCTACTACACCCAGAATATTAATAAGTAGTATATATAAGTTTGGATTCTTTGGTTGTAAGCAACAGAACCCAACTCCACTACCTTATGCAAAGAAACAAATTGAAAGGCTATGAGGGAGTTCACTGAATAAATGAGTGGAACTGGCCCAGAAATAGGAAGCATGAGATTTCTAGAGGGCTCCAGACAGGGAACCAGAGCAATGATCATCCCAGCAGGAACGGTTGGGTCAGCTCGCTGTCAGAATGAATGAATCTTCCAATTTTCCTCCTATTTTAGTATCATTTCCTCAGGCCTCAAGTCTTGTGGGAGATCATGTGATTGGCTCAGCGTAGGTCCTATCTCCGGCTACTTGCTGTGCTAGGGCAAAAGAGAGGCTCTTCCATCTTAGCATCCATCTTATAAGACCACATAAAATAGTGGAGAGGAAATTCTTCCCCACCAATAATTGTGGTGCTATTAAGGAGGTAATGGAGTTGGTAACCAGGAAGTAAAAGATTCCACCACAATTATAAAATTCATGAAGAGTATTTTACCTCATAGGGAAATTGTGGCAGACTCCATTTCCAGACTGCTTTTTCTTTGCTCACACAGATAATGGAGGAGTTGGCAGATGCTCTGACCTACTGCCATGAGAAGAAGGTGATTCACAGGGATATTAAGCCAGAGAACCTGCTGCTGGGGTTCAGAGGTGAGGTGAAGATTGCAGACTTTGGCTGGTCTGTGCACACCCCCTCTCTGAGGTAGGTCAGGTGGTGGTGGGATGGGCCCTGGATGCCAGTTAGGAATGATCCAATTCAATTTATTCCACATGTAAGACCCAGATACAAACCTGGGTTTGTGTTTGAATACTGCCTTTTTCAAATGCATATGTTAAATATGTATTTGTAGTTTGGAAGAATGTGGTTCAACCATATCTTTTATTTTTTGATCTCTGTTAACATATAACTTTATCAACAAGTTTCCATGTAAATTAAGGACCATTGCTGTGTAATTCCAGGAATTTTATTCTATGAATAAACCATAATTAGTTTACTTGGTCCCTCTCGATGGACCATCAGTTCCAAATCTTTCTTGATGCCCAGAATATTCTTGTGAAAACATCCTGGATTATGAGCTAAATAATTGTATGAATAATTCCAAAATAGAGAATCGGTGGGCCCAGTACTTGCCATCTCTGCACTTTGATCCATATTAAAACTTCGTGTTTCCAAACTCCTGTGCTCAGGAGCAGACTGCTCAGGACTTCCTAGGATCTCCCATCTCACTGGAAGCTGGGGAAGGAGGGGTCCCCTTGTTCTGGGCCTCTGCGCAGTGCTCCCTCTTTGCCCTCCTCTAGGAGAAAGACAATGTGTGGGACTCTGGACTATTTGCCCCCAGAAATGATTGAGGGGAGAACATACAATGAGAAGGTGGATCTGTGGTGCATTGGGGTGCTCTGCTACGAGCTGCTGGTGGGCAATCCGCCCTTTGAGAGCAACTCCCACAATGAGACCTACAGACGCATCCTCAAGGTGGGATGGCCACACTCGGCATTCGTGGGGAAGCAAGTCAGTGGTGCTGGTGGGCCTGTGGAGCCGGGGGCACACACACAGGTTGTCTACTAAGATCCAGAACATTGCCTTGATGGGACTCAAGGAACAGACAGAACACGGACCAGAGAAATTAACCGTACTTCTCTCTTCTCTGGCCTTATCAGGTAGACGTAAGGTTTCCCCCATCAATACCTTTGGGGGCCAAGGACTTGATCTCCAAGCTTCTCAGATACCAGCCCTTGGAGCGGCTGCCCTTGGACCAGATCATGGAGCACCCCTGGGTCCGTGCCCACTCTCGAAGGGTGCTGCCTCCATCTGCTCAGATGGCTTCCTGAGCCCTGTCTGCCCCTCCTCCTTTGTGTTTGTTCCGGGAGTACTCTTGGCTCTGCTATCTCACCTGTCGTTTGTTTCTTCTCTTTTAAGATGCAAGATGTTAATTAATAAAAGCTGAATCATTTTGTACCAGGTCTTTATAGTTGTGAGTTGGTGTCTGATTGGGTAGAATTGTTACTTCTCGTAGAAACTCTTTCCCATGAGAGCAACCCAAGATGGTGCCCCTCCCTGGCCCCCAGAGATGGTGACATAACCACTCTCCTTGAAAACCAGTTACTACTTTCTGCAGATAACCTCCCCGGAGGTACATAACCTACCACCTATCACAGCGGCTCCTAGACTCAACTTACTATTCCCCACGTATTCAGGAGTATGCCATCTGCAAACAGGACTCTGATCAACCCAGAGGTCTGCTCTTTATACTGACATCCAACATGCTGCTGTCTTCGAGATAAAATATTTCCCAGCACTTCCATGCCACCCAATTCTCAAATGAATTCACTAGCAGCTCCATGGTATGTCACATTCTGATTGCATCAGAATAAATCATCCCTAATAATATATATATATATATTTTTATGTGTGTGAGGAAGATTAGCCCTGAGCTAACATCCATGCTAATCCTCTTCTTTTTGCTGAGGAAGACCAGCTCTGAGCTAACATCTATTGCCAATCCTCCTTTTTTCCCCAAAGCCCCAGTAGATAGTTGTATGTCATAGGTGCACATCCTTCTAGTTGCTGTATGTGGGACGCGGCCTCAGCATGGCGGGAGAAGCGGTGCATCGGTGCGCACCTGGGATCCGAACCTGGGCCACCAGTAGCGGAGCGCGTGCACTTAACTGCTAAGCCACAGGGCGGGCCCAAATCATCCCTAATAATAAATGTAACATCACCTCTTCTGAAATCACATCCTCCGCCTATAGCAATTTCCTTCTGTCACAGTTCCGTGTGGCAGCTGCCCTCTTCATCCATAGGAAGCTGACTGCACCAGAGTAAACATCTAGACTCCTCAGTGGGGAGCTCAAACATGTTTTCTGCTCATTTCAGGCATCGTATTCACCTCTATGTCCCCTGACTAAAACCACTTCATATGGAGTTTGCCTTGCTAATGCTACTCCCACCACCATATTCTACATTCTCCTCAATGTGAAATGTCCAGCAGATGCAGGACCACGTCCCTATTATGAACAGACTTGCTAATTATATATAAACAATTCAGCCAGTTCACTCTCATATGAACAGTTTCCACTAGTGCAGATCCATAATTTAAATGCTCCAAGACATCGGCTCATGGTTTTTCACCTGCATCTTCAGTGCTCACATCTCTGCTTTCTAGCTTCCTCCTCTCTATCAGTTTTCTTAATACTTCAGTGAAACACCTGGAAATTCCTAATAAGTTAAGTGGCTCATACACATAAAGTGTGCAATATTACTCATTTCTGATGCTGGAAAAACTTGTATCACAGGGCACATTTGGGCAGGTAGGAAAGGATAGAAAAATTAACCAGGGCCTCAACATTGACTACCAGATGACATGTTTAAATAATGAAAACTCTCTGACATGCTTTACAGTAGGGATTTCGAAGTTTCTCCAATAGCTACATAGCTTTCCTACCTGCACTGATTCCAGACATTCTGCCTCCCATGATACAGAGAATATAAAAATCTTAACTTTAATATCTGTTTTACATCATAACCCAAAACCATTTAATTTAACCATAAGAGTCACATGGCTAGTCCTCCTCACAAAAAAAAAAAAAAAAAAAGAAGTCAGTGGGCTTAGCGGTTAAGTGCTCGCGCTCCGCTGCTGGTGGCCCGGGTTCAGATCCTGGGCGCGCACCAACGCACCGCTTCTCTGGCCATGCTGAGGCCATGTCCCACATACAGCAACTAGAAGGATGTGCAGCTATGACATACAACTATCTACTGGGGCTTTGGGGGAAAAAATAAATAAATAAAATTAAAAAAATAATTTTAACCATAAGAGTCAGCCACATGTGAAAAAGAGAATTATGTGTCTCTCAGTTTGGGCAAATTACTATTGCCAATGATGGATAACATTGTTCCTTGTGTGCTAATTAAGTACATTTTTCCATGACCTCCTTTTATAAATAGCATCTTCTAGGAAATTAACTTCACCTTACTCTTTGACTCAATTAAAATCCTGTCACTGTGCTTTTCTCTAATTTTAAAATTAAAAATCTTGGGGCCAGCCCCATGGCTTAGTGGTTAAGTGCATGCGCTCTGCTACTGGCGGCCTGGGTTCGGGTCCTGAGCACGCACCCACGCACCGCTTGTCTGGCCATGCTGAGGTGGCATCCCACATACAGCAACTAGAAGGATGTGCAACTATGACATACAACTATCTACTGGGGCTTTGGGGAGAAAAATGGGAGGAAAAAAAAAAGAGGAAGATTGGCAATAGATGTTAGCTGAGGGCCAGTGTTGCTCAGCAAAAAAAGAGGATTGGCATGGATGTTAGCTCAGGGCTGATCTTCCTCTCACACACACAAAAAATTAAATTAAAAATCTTGAGGGCATTTTCTGCACACCATGTTTCCATTTTCATAATTGTATGTATTGTCAACTCATTAGAAGGTGGACTTTACTTTTTCACCTTCACAGTCATAAGAAGAAAACAAAAGGAGTCATTAATGCTGACTTCTAAGACTGTGCACAATATACAGTAGTCCTCCCTTATCCAGGGTTTAGCTTCTGTGGTTTCAGTTACTCGAGGTCAACCTTGGTTGGGAAATATTAAATGGAAAATTCCAGAAATAACCAATTCATAAGTTTTAAATTGTGAGCTGTTCCAAGTAGTGTGATGAAATCTCGCACCGTCTTGCTTCAGCCTACCCAGGGCGTGAATCATCCCTTTGTCTAGTGTATCTGATATGTAGCCTACTGGCCCATTAATCACTTAGTAGCCATCTGGGTTATCGGATTGACTGTCTCAGTATCCCAGTGCTTGTGTTCAAATAACCTTTTTTACCTAGTAATGGCCTCAAAGTGGAAGAGTGGTGATGCCGGCAATTTGGATATGCCAAAGAGAAGCCATAAAGTGCTTCCTTTAAGTGAAAAGAACATAGTATATATAAGGTTCCGCACTATCCGGGGTTTCAAGCATCCACTGGGGGTCTGGGAAGTATCCCCCATGGATAACGGAATACTTCTGTAATTCTAGAAGGAATGTTAGAATTCCTAACATGACTTTGTTGGTTTCTTGTGTGCAAGGAGTTAATGTTGGGTTGACTTAGGGTTCACCCCTGTCCATTTCTTTCTCCATCTCCCATCATTCTTTTGTTGGCATCACCCAGTATCATGACTTGGAATAACGGTGAATGCTAACACCACCCAAATTCATATATGCAGGCCCGAACCCTCTCCCATTGTTCACACATAGGTTGAAGTGCACAGGTGAGACACTTTGTGGTCTTACAGACATTTCAAACTGACCATGCCCAAACTGGAGTCCTGGCTTCCTCCAAGCCACCCCTACTTGTACCCTCCCCACTTCAGGGAATGGAGGTGGCTCTGGGTCAAAGAAGGCCCAAGAGAGACTCTGTGCGCGCGCACCGTGTTGGAGGGAAACTTCCGACGTCCTCCTTCTGCGGTTATTCTGACCGCTCATTTATCCGTATCCCTTACAAGACGATCCGGGGAAGAGATAATGCGCAAGGGGAAGTCCGGAGCCGAGCCGCGGGCGGGTTCCACGCCTCTGCACTTGCCGTGACCCCGGGCGGAGGTCCCCGCCTCCTGAGCCTCGGTTTCCCGGGGCATAGAATGCACGGTGTCGTCCCTGCCTCTGTTCCCCCGAATTGTGCCCACTGTGAAGAGGCGGGTCTGACACGGACCCCTGAAGCTGGTAAGTCCTTTACAGCGAGGAAGACCGGCTCCTGGACGTGCTCCTCTGCTCGTTGTTTGTAGAGAAAGACTACATTACCCAGAAGCCTGTGCACCGTGCGTCTGCGGCGGGCCCTGGGCCAATGACGGCCCAGGACCTGGGCGTTTCCTGCGGTCTGCTGTCGGAGTTGGGGGGTGGGGCGGGACATGCGGCCCTTTGGTGGCCTACGTCATTTGTGTGCGACGGTTCCGTCCACGCCAGCTGTGGGGCGGGGGTCACTATTCTGTGGCGGCTTCCAGTGCGGCTCTTCGAAAGTGAGCGGAAAGGTGGCTAGGACTCACCTCTGCGCCTTTGAACAAGCCGTGAGCCTACCCGTGAGCGGGGAGGGCGACAGTCAGCCGAGGTCACCCGGCGCAGGGCAGGGGAGGGGTGGCGATCGGCTGAGCCCGCGGGACCCGCTTCTGTCGCCGCCTCTCCGGGCCCCGCTCTCTCCACAGGGTCCCGTGATGGCGGCGGCGTGGAGGGACCCGGCGCGGGTGAGTGGACGATGTTTTCGGCGTTGCTGCTTCTCTGCTAGTTAGGGGAGTGCTCCTGGGCGGGGTGGGAGTCAGGAAAGGCCCTGGATTTCTCTTTGCGTTTGTATTTGTGTTTGACAAGTGGAGCTGGCTTGTCACTTTATCTCCAGTCTTGGAACATGAGAGACTTAATATACGGATGGACACTAGGCAGACTACGTATAAATACAGAATTTTGACCCAGAACCTGCAACAACCTGCCCAGGAAACCAACCCCTCGGCTACACCAGGGCTAAACCAACCCCTCGGCCAGGACTTGATTAATAACTGACTCTTTCCCTAATTTTTTCCCCACTTCCAAGTTAAGACCAACCAGAGAAAGCCATGTGTGCACCCCTAACCATTCTTATGGGATGCTGTATGATTGCATGTCAGAGAGTTTTCATTATTTAAACATATACCATCTGGTTTTCAATGTTGAGGCCCTCGTTGATTTTTCTATTCTTACCTATCTGCCTAAAATGTGCCCAGTGATATCAGGTTATCTAGCACCAGAAATGAGTAATATTGCAGAGTTCCTATGTATGAACCAGTTAATTTATTTGGAATTTCCAGGTGTTTAATAGAAATATTAACTCAAGAAAACTGATAGAGAGGACGAAGCTAGAAAGCACAGAGATGTGAGCAGTGAAGATACAAGTGAAAAACCATGAGCCAATGTCTTGGAAGATTTGTATTATGGATCTGCACTAGTGGAAGCTGTTTATATGAGAGTGGAGTGGCTGAACTGTTTATGTTTAATTAGTAAGTCTGGTCATAATAGAGATGTGGTCCTGCATCTGCTGGACATTTCACATTGAGGAGAATGTGTAGAATATGGTGGCGGGAGTAACGTTAGCAAGGCAAACTCCATATGAAGTGTTTTTAGTCAGGAGACACTGCTGAAAACGATGACTTAAGAAATGGGGATTTTGGGGCCAGCCCCGGTGGCCTAGGGGTTAAGTTCAGCATGCTCTGCTTCGGCGGCCTGGGTTTGGTTCCTGGACGCAGACCTACACCACTCGTCAGTGGCCATACTGTGGTGGCAGCTCACATACAAAAAGAGGAAGATTGGCAATGGATGTTAGCTCAGGGTGAATCTTCCTCGGCAAAAGATAAAAAATAATAAGAAAAAGAACTGGTGACTTTTAGTACTTTAAGACTTGATGTGAAGCCCTCAGCATGGGGCAGGCAGCTTGTAGGACCAGTGAGGCTCGGGTACTGCTGCTGTTTCCATCATTGATATTATTATCATTATTTCCTCATTCCTCTGACGTCCTGGAGCACTTACAGTCTGCATCCCACAGTCTACATGTCATTCCCATTGTCTTCTGTCATTTTCCAGCAGCTTCTGCATAGGAAGCTTCTCTCTCTTACACTACTGTGTTATGTCCAAAGCATTGACAGCCTCCCGCTTGAGCCCAGCACAGAGCTTGGCCCTCAGGAGGTGCTCGGTGATTAGGGCCTTGATCTCTCTGCACCTTTGCCAGTGATACAGAGATGAGCTCTGATCCTGCTCAACACCCCCAAGGCTAATGCTACTGCCTCTATTTGACTTTCCAGGTGTCTGTGACCTTCGATGATGTGGCCGTGACTTTCACCCAGGAGGAGTGGGGGCAGCTAGACCTGGCCCAGAGGACCCTGTACCAGGAGGTGATGCTAGAAAACTGTGGGCTCCTGGTGTCTCTGGGTAAGGCACCCCCACTCCACCACTGGGGGGACTTGCCACTTCCTTCATTCCAACCTCTGGCTCCGTCTCAGCTGGTCAAGAAGACCTCAGGAGCCCTCTCTCCCTCCTCCCACAGCTTCAGTCATTTTCTAGACTCAGCTCTTCCTGCCTGGTCTCCCTGTGTCTCTTTGGGCAAGAAACAGTTCCCCTTTGGCTCCTAGAAAGTGATGTAAGGAACCTAAAGGCAGGATTTCCGGTTGGGCCCTTTGAGTGACTGACATGGGAACTGGGAACCACCACGATTATGCCCTGGCTTCTGAGTCTCTTGTCCTGGCTTCTCTCTTTGGGTCTGCTCATGTCGCTGTCATTTCAGAATGGCTTTTTCTCCTCAGTGAGTTTGTGACAGGACTGGCCACCTCAGTCCCGGCCCTCTGTGGCCCCCAGGTTCCTTGTCTCTACTTCCTTGCATGTTTATATTGTTTCTCTTTCCTTCTCTGCTGCTGGGCTCTCTGGGGTGTCCCTGAGGCAGGAATGGCCACCCGAGCCCATACTTCCCTGAACCTCTCTCCCCAGTGCCCAGCACAGACTGGCCTCTGTCTGAGGTTCTTATTTCACGTTCCAGAGAGGGACCTGACTGAGCCTGGTTGGCTCAGGTGTCCCCTACAGCCCAGTTCACAGGGCCGTGAGTGCTGGGATGTTCTCCAGGAAGAGGGTGAGTCAGGCAGGCCCCAGGAGGCCTTTGCCTTCAGTGTCAGCAGGTATTGTTCTAAACAGCGTGATCTCGGTTATGGGTTATGGGGCTTCACGATCATATCTGGTTTCCTAAGTCCAGCACCAAGATCCTCTGCTAGCACAAGAGAGAAAAGTTAGAGAAGTGCTTCTCAACACTTGGAGGTTTCACCTCCCAGGAGACATTTGGTAATGTCTGCAGCCACTTTTGATTGTCACTCCTGGGTGGGGGTGGTACTGGCATCTAGTAGGTCAGGTCCAGAGATGATGCTCATCATCCTACGATAGACAAGACAGCTCCCTCAATGATGAATTATCCAGCCCATGTGTGAAGAGTGCCAAGGTTGGGAAACACCAGCTTAGATGTTTGTCAGCGTAAGGCTAATCACCATAGACCACTCAGTTTGAGGGAAAGGAGGGCTGTATGTCCAGGGCTTAGGGTAAGGCATGCCTATTTTAGAGAACTGGAATTATGATCTGTGTCTATGAGAAGAGATTAAACAAAATTAGGAAAAGTTCAATGTATTTAGATACTTGTAACAAAATTTTTTCAAATACAGTCATGTGCAGCATAACAATGTTTCAGTCAACAACAGACTGCATATATGATGGTGGTCCTATAAGATTAGTACCCTGTAGCCTAGGTGTGTAGAAGGCTCTACCATCTAGGTTTGTGTAAGTACTGTAGGGGAGGCAGAAGTTTTCCTCTACCCTTCTAGGTCCTTCTGGCTGCTCTAAGAATTAAATTGACATGAGACAGATTTACAGGAGAAAATCAAACAAAACTTTAATGACATGTATACATGGGAGAAACCCAGGAAAACCAAGTAACTTGCCAAAATGTCTGAAGCTCTCTCTTTAAATACCATCTTCAGCTAAAGACAAAAGATGTTGGGGGCAGGGAAGGCAAGGACTTCAAACAGAAGGAAGGCAATTCACAGGTAGGTGATCAGGAGCAAAAGTTTGGAAAACAGGGTTTTTTTGGGCCACACAGAAACAGAAAAACACAGAAGGGAGCCCAAAAAACAGGCTTTTCTAGGTTCCTGCCTGTCTGCCACCTAGTTCATGTTATGCTGAGGTGATAGCTTGCTTCTTGAGACAGGTTTTTGTTTTGTTTTGTTTTGTTTTGTTTTATTGATGTCTTAATAGTTTATAAGATTATTGTGAAATTTTGGTTGTGCATTTTTGTTTGTCAATCACCATATACATGTCTCTCTTCATCCCTTGTGCCCACCTCCCACCCCCGTTGCCCTTGGTAACCACAGTACAGTTTTCTCTGTCCATCTGTTGGTTTATATTCCACACATGAGTGAGATCATAGAGTGTGTGTCTTTCTCTTTCTGGCTTATTTCGCTTAACATAATACCCTCCAGGTCCATCCATGTTGTTGCAAATGGGACAATTTTGTCTTTTTTTATGGCTGAGTAGTATTCCATTGTATATATACCACATCTTCTTGATCCAATCATCAGTCCAGGGACACTTGGGTTGCTTCCACTTCTTGGCTATAGTGAGTAATGCTGCAGTGAACATAGGGGTGCATAAGCCTCTGTAGATTGTTGATTTCAGGTTTGTTGGATAGATACCCAGTAGTGGGATAGCTGGATCAAAGGTATTTCTGTTTTTAATTTTTTGAGGAATCTCCATACTGTTTTCCATAGAGGCTGCACCAGTTTGCATTCCCACCAGCTGTGTATGAGGGTTCCTGTTTCTCCATATCCTCTCCAACATTTGTTATTTTTTGTCAAGACAGGTTTTTTTATCTGAATTCTTTTAGCCAGTTAAGGGGAAGGTAACAAGAAAAGCTTTTGGAGTCTTTTGTTTCTTAAAAATAATCCACCTAAAATAATCCTCATGTTAAAGAGAGACATTTTGGGGTGGCAGATTTTGTTCCTCTTCAATACACTCTATGATATTTGCACAAGGATGAAATCGCCTAACAACGTATTTCTCAGAACTCATACCTGTCGTTAAGTGACACATGACTGTAAAAAGTCAACGTGTAGCCCTGCTGAGCTCGTCCCTCACCTTCACATGCTCTCCTCCAGTTCTCTCTGCTCTGCTCATGCTGGGCTTCTTGCCGCATCCCACCCCTGCACATACCTGCCTCTGCCTCTCTTCTTGTCGTTCTCTCTGCCAGGTGAGTGTTCTTGGGCATTTCAACTTTTCACATGGTCGCCCCTTCTCAGCATAGTCACCGCCTCCTCACCAGCTGTTTCCTGACCACAAAATCTCATGGAGGCCCCTCCCCTATCACACTCGCTTTCTCCCATCACCCTGTTTATATACTTCCATGCCAGTGGCTCTCATCCAAGGATGATGTTGTCCCCTAGGGACACTTAGCAATGTCTGGAGACATTTTTAGTTGTCACGGCTGGGATGGAGATGCTACAGGCATCTGGTGGATGGAGATCTGGAATGCTGCTAAACATCCGTATATGCACAGGACACACACACTCCTTCCCCTTGTCCCTAACAGAGAATTTTCTGGACCTAAATGTCAGTCGTGCAGAGGTTGAGAAACCCTGTTTCAGAGGGCGCACGGACACTTCATCAGGAGCATTGAGAGACACCCTGAGGAAGCCATTCCTTTATTTCATCTCTTTCCTGCCTCCTGATTGTTGTTGAGGAAAAATCTGGCTTCAGTGCTGAATCTTAACAGCCCACTCCCCAGTGTGGCTACTTTCCATTTTCCAATAGAGGGAGCACACAGCCCCGAGCAGGCAGCGTGAGCCCACTGGGCCTTAACAACATCACTTTGATAGCATGGCTGTATTTTCAGGGTGACCTGCCATCAGTGCAGGGGACTCAGTTTCCCATTTACCAGAGTGATGCAGGATTCCCTTTTTGAAGGAATCTAAGGAGAATAAAAAGTGGGTCACTTTTAAGAAAAGTGATTATTAATAGTCACCAGCTTGCTCAGGTCCTTGGAGCACTGGATGCTCGTCAGGCCTGTTCCAGGCACTGTTCCTCCTCTGCCCCTATAATTCTCAAGGCGTCCCCGTCCTCAGCAAAGTCAGGAAAACTCGGCTACTGCGGTGCGTCCATCATGCAGCTTTACCTACTCAGTGTAGGACTACACCTTCATTTTATGAAGGTGTCCTCTCTATTTTTTCTGTAGTAAAAATCCTTTTTTTGTGAAATGTTGATGACAATAGACAATATTTGATGTGTCTGTAAATGTCCATATTGACCATATCACTGTGTAAGAGTCTCAATTTTATTATTTTTTAGTAGTTTGTGAAATACTGAGGTCTGGAGTCACTGAGTCTGCCCCTCCCCCAGCCCCTGTTCCCTGAGGATGAATCTTGGTGCTCATATCACGGCCTTGCCACCACCCTCCACCTGGTCTCAGGCTGCTGGCCCCACACAAGGGTGTTCACTGTTCCCTCCGCAGTGTAGTGTTTGGGAGACCAGGGTCCGGAGCCAGACCCCTCGTGTTCACTTCTAGCTCGGCCCCTTAAAAATTGCGTGGCCCTGGACAAGTTACTGAACCTGTCTGCGCCTCAGTGAGCTCCTTGGTAAAATGTGGTAGTGTAGTATCTACTGCCTGGACTGTAGCCAGGGTAAATGGGAGCTTAGGAAAAGAACTCAGAACAGTGCCTAGTGTGACTAGGGTAGCAGCTGAGAAGCCCCCTGCCTCCACTACTGCTGTTGTTACTCTCGTGAGGGTTCTCATCATGCTCATGCCTGGACACAGCACCTTCTGGAGCAGAGCTGTGTGGCTTTGTGGTAAAACAGCATAGAGAACAGAGATGGCTAGACATGCGCTTCCATATTGGCTCAGCCATTCACCAGTTCTGCACTCTTTGGTAAATCACCTTATCTGCCTGAGCCGTGGTTTCTTCATCTGTAAAATGGTGCTGATCACAATGCTTACTTGCTGGGGATGCTATGAGGGAATCCTAAGATAAAATTGTCATTTTGCTTGTGGTCTATAGGAAGAACAATACAAAACTTTGCTTAGGATCTAAAAAAAGACCTAGATCAATGAAGACACATAACCTTGTTTTGAATGAAAAGAATCAGTATTTTAAATATGTCAGTTAAGTTACTCCATAAATTTATTTCAATTTGAAATGACATAATGCATTTATGTTACTTGATACAGTCTTTTGAATATGATTATACTCTCTCTATGTATTAGTTTTTGACTTAGTATTAGGAATAAAAACTCCATGGCAGTATGGTTTCCAGGTTGCATGTCACCATTTTGTGTGGATGGGAGCAGCTCTATTCCGAGGTCTGGTCCACATCCTGAAGTCCCAGACTAGATTGAGAGGTTTTGTTTCATTTCACAAAAGCCCTGTGTGTCCTCTTTCCTTATCCATGAGCAGGGTGTCCTGTTCCCAGACCTGAGCTGATCTACCAGCTGGAGCACGGGCAGGAGCTGTGGACAGTGAAGAAAGACCTCTCCCAAAGCACCTGTGCAGGTAGGAGCCCAGGTGTGGGCAGCTGGGAGAGCCTGCAGGCTGGAGACCTGGGGAGACCACTGGCCGTGGTTCCCTGGGGAAGCTTCTTGTCGTGGCCTCTGGTGGTTTGGACGCCATGGAGCCCTTTGGCCCAGGGGCCCTCTGTCCTCCCAGAGAGCAGAGGTGTGAGCTAAGATCTGTGTTGGGCCCCAACTGCTTGGGCTGAAAGCCTGGCTTGCCGATCACCTGCTCTGTGGCTCTAGCAAAGTTGCAGGATCTCATCGTGTGTTTGTGTATGAGTTCGGCTAAGTTAAAGCTAGCTACCGTATCAGACATACTCCAGGATCTCGGTGCTCAGCGTGTGGAAGCTGGTTTCCTCACTCACACCAAGGTGCATGTGGGTCAGCAGGCAGGGACCCAGGTCCGTTGTGTGGTTAACGTGTGGCTTTAAGGTTGTCCTGACACCCTCCAGCTGGCAGAGGAGACTGGAGAGGGGAAGGGAAGATGTCACACCCACTCCCACAGACACCAGGTCCCCTCACATCCCACTGACAGGAACTAGGCATCTGGCCTCACTTGGGTGCCTGGGGCTGGGAAAGGAGGACGAGCTGTGTGTCCAAGGAGAGGAACAAAGGGTTGGGTGAGTGTGGTCTGCTACTCTCACTCTGTTCCGGAAAATGCTAGTAATAGTAGCTTCTGTGTCATTGGGTTGTTGGCATAGCCTCTGAGCCATCGTGACAGTAAGCTGTTGGTGTCATTCCTGTCACATTGGTCAGAATAAAGAAGGTGTCTCACGTGTCCCTCTGCACTGTGAGGAAAGGGCCTTTCTTCCTCTCCTGGTCCCTCTCTCCAGCTACACTCTGCCTACCCTCTTCCCACTTTCTCCATCCACCCCTCCTCTGAGCGTCAGTCAGAATCTCAGAAGCACTCCCTTGTTCCCTGTCTTCCTGTCCCTCCCGACTGGTAAAACCTCAAGGTGACATTTGACCTTATCTGCCCCACATCTGAACTGCTGAGGGTGCTGGGGCCATTGTGTGTAGTGACTCGTGCCACCGCAGAGTCATGCTCTCTCCTCTCTGTTGGTGCCTTGGGCTGCTTTGTCCATTCTCTCCACAGCCCCTCAGAGTCTGTCCCAGGCCTTCTGCCCTCTCCTCAGTCCCACATCTCCGCTTGAATATCTCAAAGGCACCCAAAGTCAACCTGCCTGGCAAGGACCCCCTATGTTGTTCACTCCTCCCACCTCCCAAGTCTGAGTGAATGGTTTGCCATACAAGCAGGTTAGAGACTAGATACAGCCTCAGAGAATTCCTCACACCTCCCCCTCCACCACTCTCTGCCTCTGGCCATTCCCAAATCCTGTCCGTTTTACATCATGTAGGTCTCCTAAATCCATCACTTCTGCCACCTCCGTGAGATCTGTTCCCACACTCTCAGTCCAAGCTCTCATCATCTTTTCCCTGGAGGTACCAATAGTCTCCTAACTGGTCTCTGCATCTGCTCTGTGCCTCTGGTCAGCTCTCTGTGCTGCACGAGCCAGTCCAGGTGCTCAGACTTCGTTCCAGATGATTACTGCTTCTTCAGCTACGGGTGTCTCGGCATATGGCCACTAATGTGTCAGCAAGTTTTCTTGTTGAAACTGAAGCCTACCTCCTTCTACTGCTTGAATCTCAACACTTCTACGCTCATAGAATCTCATGTCTGTAGCTTCTCTTTTCACCTAGTGGAAGAGGTCTTGCCCTTGGCCACGGCCAATTCTGTCACCAGAATCTACAAAACACCTTTTCATGGAAATACTTTCTTCACTTATATTCCGCTTGTTTTATAACTTCATCCTTTCTCTACTCAACATAAAATATGCTCAAGTTCCTTACAGTTGAAGAAAATAAATAAAAAATGCTCCTGCTCCCGTCTCACATTGTATTCATCTGCTCTCTGGGGCGTTTAATTGTTCACATCTTTTCACTCGCACAAACAGTGCTGCCAAGAAGATTCATGTGTATTGGTCATCTTGCACGTGACTAGGGATGTCTTTTGATGTTTCTCTGGGTGAAGTTGTTGGATTATAGGCTATGCAAATTTTCAAGTTAACAAGATAATTCCCATTGTTTTCTAAAGGAACTGTACCAATTTACACTTCTACCAGGAAAGAGTGGAGGTTCCTTTGACCCGTACCTTGCCCAATACTCAATACTATGAGACTTCAGTTTTTGACAGTCAAGTGGACACAAAATCATACCTCATATGGTCTTGATTTGCTTTTCCTTTATTGCTAGGAGCTTTAGCATCTTATCATATGATTTTGGGCCAGTCTGTGTTTTGTTCTTTGAAATGTTGTTTTGTGATAAATACCTATTTTTCTTGTTTGCATTTTCTTTTTGATTTGTAGGGATTTTTGATTCTTTTTGATTTCTTTTTTCTTTGTACATTCCTCATATTATCTTTTTTGAGTGTGTGTAGTAAAAATACACATAACATAAAATTTATCTTAGCCATTTTTTTTTTTTTTTGTGAGGAAGATCAGCCCTGAGCTAACATCTGTTGCCAATCCTCCTCTTTTTGCTGAGAAAGACTGGCCCTGGGCTAACATCTGTGCCCATCTTCCTCTACTTTACATGGCATGCCGCCACAGCATGGCTTGACAAGCGGTGCGTCTGTGTGCCCCCGGTATCCGAACCTGCTGCAAACCCCACCGAAGTGGAGCGTGTGCACTTAACCGCTGCCCCACAGGGCCAGCCCCCATCTTAGCCATTTTTAAGTGTACAATTGAGTGGTATTAAATACATTCATGTCGTGCAGCCATCACCACCATTCAGCTCCATAACTGAAACTCTATACCCATTACACAATGACCCCCCCCATTTATTTACCAAGCCCCCGCCCCTGGCAACCACAATTCTGCTTTCTGTGTCTGATTTTGACTACTATAAGTACCTCATATAAGTGAAATCATACAGTATTTGTGTGTGTGTGACTGGCTTATTTCGTTTAGCATAATGTCCTCAAGGTTCATCCATGTTGTGTAGGATGTGTCAAAATTTCCCTCCTTTTTAAGGGTCAATAATATTCCATTTTATATATATAGCACCACGTTTTGCTTATCCATTTATCCCTCGATGGACATTTGGGTTGCTTCCATGTTTTAGCTATTTTGAATAATGCTGCTGTGAATATGGGAGTACAAATATCTCTTTGAGGCCTTGATTTTAGTTCTTTTGGGCATATATCCAGAAATGCAATTGCTGGATCATATAGTAATTCCATTTTTAATTTTTTGAGGAACTGCTGTACTGTTTTCCACAGATACTATACCATTTTACATTCCTGCCAACAGTGTACAAGAGTTCCAATTTCTCCACATGCTCACCAACTTTTGTTATTTTCTGTTTTGTGTGTGTGTGTGTGTGTGTGTGTGAGGAAGATTGGCCCTGAGCTAACATCTGTGCCAATCTTCCTATATTTTTATGTGGGCTGCCGCCACAGCATGGCTAGATGAGCGGTATGTAGGTCCGCACCTAGGATCCGAACCTGAGAACCCCAGGCCGGAGAAGCAGAGTGTGTGAACTTAACCACTATGCCACCGGGCCAGCCCCTTCTGTTTTTTTTGTTTTGTTTTTTTTTTTTGAGGAAGATCAGCCCTGAGCTAACATCCATGCCAATCCTCCTCTTTTTGCTGAGGAAGACCAGCTCTGAGCTAACATCTATTGCCAATCCTCCTCCTTTTTTTTTTCCCCCAAAGCCCCAGTAGATAGTTGTATGTCATAGTTGCACATCCTTCTAGTTGCTGTATGTGGGACGCGGCCTCAACATGGCCGGAGAAGTGGGTTGTCGGTGCGTGCCCGGGATCCAAACCCGGGTCGCCAGTAGCGGAGTGCGCACACTTAACCTCTAAGCCGTGGGGCCGGACCTCACTGTAGTTTTGAATTGCATTTCCCTCATGATTAGTGATGTTGAAGTTCTTTTCTTGTGCTTATTGGCCATTTGTGTATCTTCTTTGGAGAAGTGTCTCCTTTGCCCCTTTTTGAATTGGATTGTTTGGTTTTTTGTTATCGAGTTTTAGTTCTCTATATATCCTGGATATTAATCCCTTATCAGATGTATGATTCGCAGATATTTTCTCCCATTCTTTGGTTTACCTTTCTACTCTGTTGATAGTTTCTTTTTTTTTTTTATTTATTTATTTATTTATTTATTTTTCCCCCAAAGCCCCAGTACATAGTTGTATGTCATAGCTGCACATCCTTTTAGTTGCTGTATGTGGGACGCGGCCTCAGCATGGCCAGAGAAGCAGTGTGTCGGTGCGCGCCCGGGATCCGAACCTGGGCCGCCAGCAGCGGAGCGCACGCACTTAACCGCTAAGCCACGGGGCCAGCCCTGTTGATAGTTTCTTGATTCACAAAGGTTTTGAATTTTCATGAACTCTGATTTGTCTATTTTTTCTTTTGTTGCCTGTGCCTTTGGTGTCATATCCAAGACATCATTGCCAAATCCAATGCCATGCCTGTTGTCTTCTAAGAATTTGAAAGTTTTAAATCTTACATTTAAGTCTTTGATCCATTTTGAGTTAATTTTTGTATATGATGTTAGATAAGGTCCCAGTTTCATTCTTTTGCTTGAAGGTATGCAGTATTCCCGGCACCATTTGTTGAAAAGACTTCTTTCCCCCGTTTAATGGTCTTGGCACCCTTGTCAAAAATCATTTGATGATATATGTGAGAATTTATTTCTGGGCACTTGATTCTATTCCCTTGGTCTATTTGTCTATCTGTATGCCAGTACCACACTGTTTTGATTACTGTAGGTTTGAGGTAGTTTTGAAATCAGGAATTTTGAGTCCTCCAGCTTTGTTCTTCTTCTTCAAGATTGTTTTAATTTTTCAGGGTCCCTTGAGATTATATGGATTTTAGGATGGATTTTTCTATTTTTGCAAAAATTGTCATTGGGATTTTGATAGACATTGCATTGAATCTGTAGATCACTTTGGGTAGTCTCAGTATCTTAACTATGTTAAGTCTTCTAGTCCATGAACATGTTATGTGTTTCCATTTATTTACATATTCTTTAATTTCTTTGAGCAATATTTTGTAGTTTTCATTGTACAAGTCTTTCACTTCATTGTTTAAATTAATTCCTAATCATTTTATTCTTTTTGATGCTATTGTAATTGGAACTATTTTCGTAATTTCCTTTTCAGATTGTTCATTGTTATGTATAGAAATCATGCAGCTGACTTTTGTGTGTTGACTTTGTATCCTGTTACTTTGAATTCATTTATTAGTTCTCACAATTATTTTGTGGCATCTTTTGGGTTTTCTATGTATAAGATCATATCATCTGCAAAGATAATTTTACTTCTTCCTTTCCAATTTGGATGCCTTTTATTTCTCTTTTTTTGCCTGATTGCTCTGGCTAGAACTTGCAGTATTATGTTGAATAGAAGTGGCAAAAACAGACATCCTTGCCTTGTTCCTGATCTTAGAAGAAAAGTTTTCATTCTTTCACCATTAAGTATGATGTTTACTGTGGGTTTTTCATATATGGCTTTTATTATGTTGAGGTAGTTTCCTTCTATTCTTAGTTTGTTGAGTGTGTTTATCATGAAAAGGTGTTGGATTTTGTCAAATGTTCTTTCTACTTCAATTGAGATGATCATGTGGTTTTTTCCTTCCTTCTGTTAATATGGTGTATTACATTGATCAATTTTCATGTTGAACCATCCTTGCATTGCAGGAATAAACCCCACTTGATCATGGTGTATGATCTTTTTAATGTGCTGCTGAATTTGATTTGCTAGTATTTCGTTGAGGATTTCTGCATCAGTGTTCATAAGGGATATTGGTCTGTAGTTTTCTTTTCTTGTAGTGTCTTTGGGTTTGGTATCAGGGTAATACTGGCCTCAGAATTAATTAAGAATTGTTTCTTCCTCTTCAGTTTTTTGGAAGAGTTTGACAAGGACTGGTATTAGTTCTTTTAAAATATTTGGTAGACTTCACCAATGAAGCATCAGGTCCAGGGTTTTTCTTTTTTGGGATGTTTTTGATTACTGATTTACTCTCCTTCCTAGGTATAGATCTATTCAGATTTTTATTTCTTCATGATTTAGTCTTGATAGATTTTTTGTTTCTTGGAATTTGTCGGATTCATCTAGGTTATCCAATTTGTTGGTGTACAGTTGTTCATAGTACTTCTTTATACTCTTTATGTGTTTCTGTGGAATTGACAGTAATGTCCACACTTCCATTCCTGATTTTAGTACTTTGAGTCTCTTTTGTTCTTAGTTCTTCTAGCTAAAAGTTTGTCAATTTTGTTGATCTTTTCAGAGAACCAACTTTTTGTTGCGGTGATTGTCTCTGTTTTTCTCTTCTCTATTTCATTCATTTCTACTCTAATCTTTATTATTTCCTTCCTTCTGCTGGCTTTTGGTTTAGTTTGTTCTTCTTTTCTTACTTCCTTAAGTTGTCAAGTTAGGTTGTTGATTCGAGATCTTTTTTGCTTTTTAATGTAATCATTTAGAGCTATAAATTTCCCTCTTAACACTGCTTTCACTGCACCCCATAAATTTTGGTATGTTAAGTTTTCATTTCACTAAAACAAATTATACTTTGTATGATATCTTTTTTAAAATCTGTCAAAACTTGATGGCTTAACATATAGTCTATCCTGGAAAATATCCCATGTACACTTGAGAAGAATGTGTATACTATTGTTGGGTAGAATGTTCTGTATGTGTCTGTTAGATCTAGTCAGTTCATTATGTTGGTTAAGTCCTCTATTTCATTACTTATCTTTTGTCTGGTTGTTCTATTCATTATTGAGAATGGGATATTGAAGTTTCTGTCTGTTATTGTAGAGCTGTCTCTTTCTTGCTTCCATTCTGTCAATTTTTGCTTCATATATTTTGATAGTCTGTCGTCAAATATGTAAGTGTTTACAACTGTTATGTCTTCTTGCTGTATTATACCTTTTATTATTGTCTCTCATAATCTTTTTTAATTTAAAGTCTATTTTGTCTGATATTAATAGAGCCACCTCTGCTCTTTTTTAGTTAGTATATACATGGAATATCTTTTTCTATCTAATTTTCAAGCTATTTGTGTCTTTGGATCTAAAGTGAGTCTCTTGTACAAAGCATGTAATTGTATCACATGTTTTTATCAATTCTGCCAATCTGTTTCATCCATTTACATTTAAAGTAATTACTGATATGGAGAGACTTCTGTCATTTTGATATTTGTTTTCTATAAGCATTATAGCTTTTTTTGTCCCTCATTTCCTACATTACTGTCTTCTCTTGTGTTTAGTTGACTTTTTTAGTAAAACATTTAAATTTCTTTTTCATATCCTTTTTCTTGTACTCTATGGCTAATTTCTTTGTGGTTACCATGGGGATTATGTTTAAAATCTTAAAAGTTACAACACTAATTTGAATTTATACTAGCCTAACTTTAATAACATAAAAAAATATTCCTTTAAACCTTCATCCTACCCCTTTCGGTTGTTCATATCACAAAATTACATCTTTATATATTGTATACCCAAAAACTTGAACTAATAACTGTCTTAAATACATTAGTATCTTAAATTATGTAGGAAACTACATGTGGAGTTATAATCCAAAGTTACAATAATACTACCTTTTAGACTAATAATTTTTTTAAAAAATCATCTCTTAAATCATGTAGAAAACAAAAAGTGGAGTTATAAGCCATTGTTACAATAATACTAGCTTTTATAATTGACCGTGTATTTACCTTTATTGAGATATTTATTTCTTCATATGGTGTTGAATTACTTTTTAGTGTCCTTTTATTTCAACCTGCAGGACTTGAGAATTTCTTGCAAGGCAGGTTTAGTGGTAACAAACTGCCTCAGCTTTTATATATGTCTTAATTTCTCCCTCAGTCTTGAAGAACAGTTTTGCCAGATATAGGATTCTTGGTTGACAGTTTTTTTCTCTTACACTTGAATATGTTGACCCACTGCCTTCTGGCCTCTCAAGTTTCTGATGAGAAATCTGCTGATAATCTTATTGAGGATCCCTTGTATGTGACAATTTGCTTTACTCTTGCTATCAAGATACTCTCCTTATCTTTGGCTTTCAAAAGTTTGGTTATAATTTTTCTTGATATGAGTCTATTTGAGTTCCTCTTGGAGTTTATTGAACTTCTTCGATGTCTTTCATCAAATTTGGGAAGTTTTCAGCCTTTTCTTCAAATATTCTCTCTGATCCTTTCTTTCTTCTCTTTTTGGGATTCCCACAATGAGTTTATTGGTTTGCTTGATGGTGTATTACAGTTCCCTTAGGCTCTGTTCACTTTTCTTCAATCTTTTTTTTCTTCTGTTCCTCAGACTTGATAATTTCCATTATCCTATTGTCAAGCTTGCTGATTCATCTTCCTGCTCAAATCTTCCTTTGAATCCCTCTAGTTTATTTTTCCTAAGTTATTGTACTTTTCTGCTCCAGATTTTCTTTTTTATTTCTTTTTGGGTTTTCTAGCTCTTCATTGATATTTCCACTTTGTTTATACATAGTTTTTGTGACTTTCTCCATATCTTCGTTTAGCTCTGAGCTTCTTTAAGATGGTTGTTGTTAAGTCTTTCTCTACTAGATCTGTATCAGGTGTTTTTCAGTTTTTGGAGGGGTTCCACACATGAGTTACCATGTCCTTAGGGACTAAGTACCTTCCTGGTTTTGATGTATGGTAATATATGCACAAAGTATTGCCAACTTAGCAATTTCACCTGACTTCAGGGTCCAGAGTTTTATTGAGTCTCATTATATATGTACAATTCAATCATTTCCTACATGATTAAGTCTCCTGCCCTCCTTCCATCTCTTTTCAGAGCCCTAATTTTTATCTTATGGCTCAAAACCCCAACCCTCTAATCCCATGGTTGATCTTTCTAGTGTGGCCAGGCCATGCCCTGAGTCATCTCTTCAGCATAAACTATTGAGGGGCCCAAATGAGTTACATATTTGCATAAATATCCAATCTGGAATTGACTGTGTTTCCTCGCCAGCACTCTGTCTCCTAACCCAGCCTTTCCTCCTAGCTCTCAGTTTCAAGGTGTCAACAATCCAAAGACCAGGAAAGAAGGAAATTGCTATCCTGGGATTCAGAGGTAGCAAAACATAGCAGACAGAGAGGCAATATTTTCATCTTCATTTTTTTCACTGAGATGCTGATTTTGTTTCTTCTATGTTGGCATTACTAATAGGCCCTGTTGTGTATTGGATTTCTTTCAGGTGATGAAGGGAACCCCAAGACCACAGGACCTACCACTTGTGAGCCAGCCCAGTCTGAGGGAGCCTCTCTCCAGGAACAGCTACCACAGGGAGCCCCAGGGGACTCCCAGGTGGGCCAAACCAAGGATCAGGATGGGCCATCGAAAATGCAGGAAGGACACTTGAGACCAGAGATAGACCCCCAGAGGGAGAAGCTGCCTGGGAACGTGAGCCCTGAACATGATGGTTTAGGGACAGCTGATGGTGTATGTTCATGGATTGTACAGGAGCCAGTCCCTCTGGGAGGTGCTGTTCTTAACCATGACTCATGTGGATCAGGTAAAGATCCCATCATTCAGGAAGAGGAAAATATCTTTAAATGCAATGAATGCGGAAAAGTTTTTAACAAGAAACGCCTACTTGCTCGACATGAGAGGATTCACTCTGGAGTAAAGCCCTATGAGTGCACAGAGTGTGGGAAAACATTTAGTAAGAGCACTTACCTACTGCAACACCACATGGTCCACACTGGGGAGAAGCCCTATAAGTGCATGGAATGTGGAAAGGCCTTTAACCGCAAGTCACACCTTACACAACACCAGCGGATTCACAGTGGAGAGAAGCCTTATAAATGCAATGAATGTGGAAAGGCCTTCACCCATCGCTCCACTTTTGTCTTGCATAACAGGAGCCACACAGGAGAAAAGCCCTTTGTGTGCAAAGAATGTGGAAAAGCCTTCCGAGATAGGCCAGGTTTCATTCGACACTACATCATCCACAGTGGTGAGAATCCCTATGAATGCTTTGAATGTGGCAAGGTCTTCAAACACAGGTCATACCTCATGTGGCACCAGCAGACTCACACTGGGGAGAAGCCCTATGAGTGCAGTGAGTGTGGGAAAGCCTTCTGTGAGAGCGCAGCCCTCATTCACCACTACGTCATCCACACTGGGGAAAAGCCCTTTGAGTGCCTTGAGTGTGGGAAGGCCTTCAACCACAGGTCATACCTCAAGAGGCACCAGCGAATTCACACTGGGGAGAAGCCTTATGTGTGCAGTGAATGTGGGAAGGCCTTTACCCACTGCTCTACTTTTATTTTGCATAAAAGGGCCCACACTGGAGAGAAACCTTTTGAGTGCAAAGAATGTGGGAAAGCCTTTAGCAATCGGGCAGACCTCATTCGACACTTTAGCATCCACACTGGAGAGAAGCCCTATGAGTGCATGGAGTGTGGGAAGGCCTTTAACCGTCGGTCAGGCCTCACGAGGCACCAGCGGATTCACAGTGGAGAGAAGCCCTATGAATGCCTCGAGTGCGGGAAGACCTTCTGCTGGAGCACAAACCTGATTCGACACTCCATTATCCACACTGGAGAGAAGCCGTATGAGTGCAGTGAGTGTGGAAAGGCCTTCAGTCGCAGCTCATCTCTCACTCAGCATCAGAGGGTTCATTCTGGGAGAAACCCTGTCAGTGTAACAGAAGTGGGAAGACCCTTCACAGGCGGGCAATCCTCGGTCCACCTCCAAGAACTCCTATTGGGGAAAAACTTTTTGAATGTAACCACTGAGGAAAATCTTTTGCCAGAGGAAACATCTTACTCAGAATCTGATCATTCGTACCAAAGAGAAACCCCTCAGTTTTCTTCTCTGTGAGAAAACCTTCTATTGGAGGATATCAGTTGTCATCTAAAAAGTCATATTGGAAATTGACCCAGCCTAAAGCCTTATTCTCCATCTGAGAATTCATCCAGAAGAGAGACCCAGATGTTACTATGCACTTAGGAAATCCTTCAGCTACATCGTTCTCCTTAGTTTACACTGCAGTGTTATCTCAGGAATTCTTTTTTAAAAAAGAAGGGAGAGACTTAGAAGAGAAAATGAACTGCAAATACAGTTTCTTTCAGACTTCATTGCCAAGCCTATGGCAATCTGTCATGGATTCCTTAGTTTACCTGTAGGAGGAGAGTTTTGTTTCAGAGGTAAAGGACCTAGACTCTTTATGTGTTATGTATATACATTAATTGCTGTCCAGTGTCAGGACAGGTCTGGAAACTTTCACCGAACGTCTTCTTTCTTCTAAAACATTGTCTCTACTCTTAAGGAGCTTAATTTGTGTGAGAAGTATGAAGGCTTGAGCCGTCAAATATTTCCTTTATATTTGAGGAGATAAAAATACACATATGAATGGGCAAATTTTATTGTACCAGTTAAAACTGTTTAAGGCTTTGATTTTTAAAAAACAAACATTTTCTCCATGTGGTTTTAAAGACCTAATACTCAGACTTTTTCTTGATCTCGTTGTATTAGTTTATTTGATTGCCATAGCTATGTGGTAAATCTTTTAATTGGATAAAGCGATTCCTCTCTCTTTAATCTTCCTATTTAAAATTGATGTAGCACTCCTAGTTACTTTGAATTTCCATATAAAGTTTGAGTAAGCTTGTCTATTTTTAGAAAAAAATCTTTATCAAATTTTGATAGAAATTGAGTTAAATTCATAGATCAATTCTTTGAGAATTGGCATCTTTACTGTGTTGAGTCTTCCAATTCATGAACTTGGTATGTCTCAACATTTATTTAAGTATTACTTGATTTATTTCATTACTGTTTTATAAATTTCAATAATAGGTCCTGTACAATTTTTGTAAGATTTATATCTAGGTTTTTTTTTGAGTGATTATAAATGGCATTGATTTTTAAAATTTAAGTTTTCACACAACTCTTTCATAGTATACAGAAATATAATTATTTTTTGGATGTTATTTTGGTGTCTTGCAACCTTGCTGAACTGTAGCCTTTTTTTTTTTTGATAGAATGCTTGGGATTTTCTACACAGAAATATCATCTGCAAATAGAGATAGTTTTATTTCTTTCTTTCCATCCATATACTGTTTTTTTTCTTGTCTTACTGCACTGGCTGGGATTTCCAATATTCTGTTCAATAGTAGTAGTGAGAAAGGATATGCTTGCATGGTTCCTGATATTAGGAGGAAAACATTCAGTTTTTCATTGTTAAGTATGATGTTAGTTGTAAGGTTTTCTTCATAGAGGTTTCTTATTAAGAAAGTTTCCCTCTATTCCTAATTTGCTGAGATTTTTTTTGTTATTGTGAATGGGTGTTGAATTTTGTCAAATGCATTTTCTCTTTCAGTTGATGTGATCATGTTTTTTCTTTCGTAGCCTGTTTATATGATGTGTTACATTTATTTGAATTGTAATGTTGAACTAGTTTTGTCTCCTTGAAATAAGCCCCACTTGGTCATGGAGTATAATTATTTTTATATATTATATTACAGTATCCAGTATGCTAGTATTCTGTTGAGGAAGTTTTTCTCTATTTCATGAGTGATAATGATACACATTTTTCTTTCTTACTTTTGTTCATTCTTTTTTTTGTAATGTCATTGTCTAGTTTGGTGTCTAAATGATACTAGCCTCCCAACATATGTTGGGAGGTGTTTTTTCTTCTATTATTTGGAAGACAGTGTGTAGAATTGGTTTTATTTGTTTTAATGTTTGGTAACATTCTCCAGTGAACCATTTAGGCCTGGAGATTTTTCTTTTGAATGCTTTTTATTATGTATTTATTTTATTTAATATGTATAAAACTATTCCGAGTATCTGTTTCCTATCTGATGAATTTTCATAGTTTATTCTTTTGTGGGAATTGTTCCATTTCATCTAAATTTTCGTATTTGTTTTAAGTATTCCTTTATTGTCCTTTCATACTTATATCCCCTGTTTTATTCCTGATTTTGGAAATGTGTCCTCTCTTTTTTATTTTTGTCAGTCTTTTGAGACATTTATCAATTTTATTCATCATTTTAAAGAACCAGCACTTTATATTGTTTTTTTCTCTGTTATCTTTCTGTTCCTAATTTCACTGATTTCTGTTGTGATCTTTTTTTTTTTTTTAATCCTTCCACCATGCTATGTTCTCTTTTTATTTTTAATTTTTTCTTTTTTTGAGGAAGATTGGCCGGGAGCTAACATCTGTTGGCAACCTTGCCTCTTTTTTCAGTTTTTCTCCCCAAAGCCCCAGTAGATAATTGTATGTCATAGTTGTACATGCTTCTAGTTGCTTTATGTGGGACTCCACCTCAGCATGGCTTAATGAGTGGTGCATAGGTCTGCCCCCAGGATCCAAACTGGCAAATCCCAGGCCGCGAAGCAGAGCGTGCAAACTCAACCGCTATGCCACCGGCCCGGCCCCTGTTCTGATCTTTCTTATATTCTTTGTTCTACTTGTTTTGGTTGTATTTCACTCTGTAGTTTCTTGAGATAGTTGCTTAGATTATTGATTTGAGGTTTTTTATTTTTCTAGTTTAAGCATTAAGTTCTATAAATTTTCCTCACGGCACTGTTTTAGCTTCATCTCACAAGTTTTAATACCTTTTAATTATATTTGATTCAGTTCTAAATATTTTTTTATTTGAGACTTCCTCTCTAACCCATGGATTATTTAGGATTGTGTGTTTTAATTTCCTACTGTTTAGAGTATCTCATTCTCTCTCTTTGTTATTGATTTCCAGTTTGTTTTACGTTTGATCCAGCTATTTAAATTTGTTGAGATTTGTTTTATGACCTAGGATATGGTCTACCTTGATGAATGTTCTGTAAGCCTGCTTGAAAAGAATGTGTATTCTACTGTCATTGGGTGGTGTTTGTATAAATGTCTACTTGATCGTGTTGGTTGGTGATGTTATTCAGATTTTGTATATCCTTGCTGATTTTCTGGCTAGTATTTCTGTCAATAGCTGAGAGAGAGGGTGTTGAAGTCCTGCCTATAATTCTGGAATTATCTGTTCCTCCTTTAAGCTCTATCAGTTTGTGTTTCATGTATTTCAAAGCTCTGTTGTTTGGTGCCTAGACATTTAGGATTGCTATGTCACCTTGGTGTGTTGACCCTTTTATCTTTATGTAATATCCCTTTTTGCCCCTGTAAATTTTCTTTTCTTTGAGGTATACTTTATCTGATATTAATATAGTCACTACTGCATTTCTCGTTAATGTTTGCATGGTTTATATTTTCCCATAATTTTATTTTCAACCTTATTTATATTGTTGCATTTGAAGTAAGTTTCCGTGAATAGCATATATTCAGGTCATGTTTGCTTTTTATTAACTTTACCAATTTCTGTTTTTCAATTGGTATATTTAGACCATTTACACTTAATTTTTGATATGTTAGGGCTTAAGTCTGCCATTTTGTGATTTTTGTGTTTGTTCCCTGTTTATCGTTCCTCTTATTGTTATTTTTTTACCTTCCTGTGGGTTACTTTAAGTTTTATAATTCCATTTGATATGTGTATGATGTTTTTGAGTATATTTCTTTGTAGTTTAGTGGTTACTCTAGGTATTGTGTTGTACACACATAACTTATCACAGCATACGGTATCAACATTTTAGCACTTTGACATGTAGAAACTACTTCTTTTGGCTCCCTTTACATTCCCCAGTCTTAAGTATTTCCTCTTCATACACGAGCACCATATTGGATGATATCCTCATTTTTGCTTCAACTGTCAAACGTTTTTTACAAATGTCATGAGAAGAATAGTTTACCCCTACTTTTACCCATTCCATTGTTCTTTCTTCCTTGTTGAAATCCCAAGATTTCTTCTGTTAACATTTCCTTTCTTTTTTGTGAACTCCTATAGTCTTTCTTCTAGGGTAGGTCTTCTGAGCAGCTATTTTTGTTTTCCTTCATCTAAAAATGGCTTTATGTCCCTTCATTCCTGAAAGATATTTTTGTGGGACGTAGGATTTGGGGTCAGCAGTTTTTTCTTTTAGTACTTGAAAAGCATGTCATTTCCTTCTGTCCTTTTTGGTTTCAGATGGGAAATCTACTGCATTTGACCCATTGTTCTCCTATCGGTAATGCATCCTTTCTGGCAAGCTGCTTTCAAAGTGTTTTTTCTTTGTATATAGAGTTCAGAAGTTTGATTATGATGTAACCTGGCGTGAATTTTGGGGGTTTGTCCTGTTTAGTGTTTGCTCAGCTTTTTGAATCTGTTAGTATGTGCCCATTGCCAAATTTGGGAAATTTTGAGTTATTAGTTCTTCAAATATTTTTTCAGCCCCACACTTTCTCCTCCCTTTCAGGGACTCCAATAACATGAATGGTAGATCTTTTGTTGTTGTTCCACAGGTCCCTCAGGCTCACATCTTTTTCCCCCCCAAGTCTATTTTCTTTCTGTTGCTCAGATTGATTAATTTCCATTGATCTTTCTTTGAGCTCACTGATTCTTTTCTCTCTCATATTTAATCTAGTATTGAGCTCACCCACTGAGTTTCCCTTTTGGTTTTTGAATTTTTAAATTATTTAATTTCCATTTGGTTTTTTTATACATCTTCTATTTCTTTGCCTAGTTTATAATTCCAAAAAGGACTCTGAAAAAACAAACAAAACTGTGTAGTCCAAAGTCATGGCTCTCTGGTGGTTTATCTTGATGTTGAAATAGAAATCCTAAACTATCTGGAGGAATGGAAGGCCTGCAGTCTTCTATGTTGGTATCCATAAATATTTCTACTAACAAATCTAATAACTGAGGATGATCCACAGATTGTTCAGTTATGTTCTCCAGGAAATATTTGTGTGTACAATTCCCCAGCTCTTTAAACCCTGTAATAGCCTCAGAGGAGAAGGGGTCACTCCTCTTCCAGGATCACTCTTCCTGTTTGTGGTTTAACAGATTTTCCCCACTCTTCAATTCTCTAGGACCTCTTTCTTTTACACTTCTACTGCTAGGTCTTTAACATTTTCGTTTTAAGCTCCTTCTGTCCTCATAATCTATACCTGTGTTCATGTCTCTAGTCTCACCCCCAGTCACTTTCTGCCCCACAAGCCCATTGAGCTCTTTCTCCTTTCTCTCACAGACACACCCTGTCTAACTGTTCTGTCCACCATCTGTCCCCACCCCCTCACTCCCTCTCACCCCACTGACAACTAAAGAATGGCCTCTACCACTATCACCTGACTTAAGCTGGTCTCACAAAGTTCCCTTTTGCGCCCCCACCTGTCTTCCCAAATCTGTTA